CCCCCAAAAAAAACTCACAGTGGAAGAGCTGCTGTTTCAAAGGCTGTTAATGAATGCATGCAGTTGTTCAGGTACCCAATCAGAGAAATCAGAGCCTTGGTCTATAGCCCGGCTGGTTGCCACATAAATGTGCCATGGGGCACTTTCACTTATTTGTGGGATTTCTGTTCCAGTCCCTGATGACCACATGTCCCTCATCACAGAAGTGACAGTCTTGCATTCCAGCTGAGGGGAAAAATCTGATTCCACTGCAACTCTGCAGGAGCTGTCTGCCTCCAGTTTGAAAATAAAGCTAAGAGGGACAACAGAGAGACAGATCAGTTCTCGAGCACAAAATAATCAGGTATTTACTTCCCCAGTGCAGCCTAATTACTTATCCATAGCACAATGCATCAACAAAGAAGACAAAGCAGAAAAATGCCAGTTGAGCTTCAGTGAAAGTATTTATGTAGAAATTATTTACTACTCTTCAGACAAAGCTCCCAGAATGATTTGCAAGAATGCCACCTTTCCTAGTAGCATTCAATAAATATCGATGAAATATAACATGTGTCACAGACACAGTGGATGAACGTGCAGCATATAAGAAAGCAAAAGAAAAATAATGTGCCTGAAAGACCTGGGCAAACAGAAGGCCCACTAGACACTGAAAAGAAAGCAGAGACAGCACCAGGTGAAACTCCCTGGGGAGGGAACTGAGACGACTGAGCACCATGTGCCTCTCCTGAGACAGTAGGGGAATTTAGAGCAGTGCTTTAGAGGTCAGCCTAAGTATCTGGGCTGGTTCACGGAGGAGATGATGCTTCTTCAGCTCTTAAGCTTTTTAGGACATTAGGTCCAAACCACTTTTGCAAATTATACGACCAATATAATATGCTTCTTTTACACACCTAGAGTGCAGTGATGCTTACAATATTGTGTACATTTCTAGGCATGGCACCTAAAAAGGATACTGCAGGGTTGGAAAAAGTGCAGAACGGAGCATTTAAAATGATCAACAGGCTGGAGCAACTGCTGCATGTGGAAAGGTTCCAGTAACTGGGATTGTTTAGCTTAGAAAAGAGGTGACATGACAGAAGTATACGGTATGCATGGTGTGGAGAAGGTGGCTAGGGAAACATTTTTCTCTGTGTCTCATAATATTAGGGTTTGGGGTTATCCCATGAAGTTGATTGGTGGGAGATTCAGGACAGATAAAAGGAAGGACTTTTTTAATAGAGTACATAGTTAAGCTATGGAATTCAATTCCACAAAGTGTAGCAATGGCCACCAATTTGGATGGCTTTAAAAGGAGACTGGATAAATTCAAGTAGGATAAGGCTCTCAATGGCTATTCATTCTGATGAATATACATTGCCTCTGGATCAGAGACAGTATGCCTATGTACACTAGTTACTGGGGAAGATGGGTGGGAGGTCACTGTGGCATTTGTGTTCAGCTTCTGGGTTCCCCAGGACCAGGGGAACAGAAGGCTGGGCTTGGTGGCCCCTATTAGAGCAGTAGGGGTCTTATATTCTTAGCACAGACCATCAAACAGCACGGACTCTCATCACTCTATAAGTCTGGCTTAATGGAAAGCAAGCATAAATAAAACTATGATCCTTACAAAACATGTCCTTGACATTCAAGTTACATTTATTTTTCCTTATCTATTCAGCGTCAGTTCTTTTGAGGTTTTCTGAGAATAGTAGCTTCAGCCTTTGTGGGTAAGGGCTGACTCAAAGCTGCATATGTGGAAAAGCCTTGTCTCAAAACACTCAAGTTCCCTCTTCAGGAGTCTTTCAAGGTAGCCTGTGCTCCTCTCTCACTCTGTCTCCCCGATGCTTGGTGCAGTAAATGTAAATAAATGTGAGCACTTAGGCAGGACATAATGCGTAGATCCGCTTTATCACTCTTGTGCTGGGGAATGGAACTTCGAGTGGAAGCTTTCATGCTGCCCTAGGCATGTTTTACACAGGACATATTATAAAACTCCCTCTGTGCAAGATGTACAGCAATCATGCGCTAATGTTAGAAAGTCAAGCATAGCACCACAAACTTTCCTTCTTGTCAGAGCTACTGCAACTGATTTGTAGAACAGCTTTCCAGAGGCACTTTCTGCTTGATCTCAAAAGTGCTGTACAAACACTCTAACTAATGAAATTAGCACCCAATGCAGTAATATCTATATTTACAGCATTCATCATAGTATTAATACATTTCTCCAGATATGAGATGTCTATTTTTGAAGAAGACATAGCATGCAGCCTGACAATAGCAGGCTTGCTCATTATGGGAAGCAAATCACTTGTATCTTCAGCCATCAGTTCCTTTCAGAGGTTACATCACAGTATCAAAAAAAAAAAAAAAAATCACTAACATCACCACTGGGGCTGCAAACTGTCCCTAAAAATACCCAGATGGATTTGTTTTGGAGGTGCTGTCACATAAGCCAAGCCAACTTTTTCTGGGAAAGGTTCAAATGCACAGTGGATAATGATACTGCTACAAGCAGAGGATGGACTGCACCATACAAGCAGAATGAAAAGAAGGCCAAATAGGTTGTTTTCCAAATTTCCCAACGCGTTTCAATTCCGAATGTTCTTCCTCAGGGGAAACTATTCAACATATAAATTATGATATCAATACACTGGTAGCATTCAATCTTCTCCTTAATCCAGAGTGAATTCCCTAGTCTGACAGCTGTAAATTCCAGCCAGATTGACTGCTTACAGAAAGCCATTATCTCCATATTTGTCTGCCCCACATTGTTAGAGAGAAAGAGAGCAGCTTTGTCTTATCAGTAAATCTGGATGAACTACACCAGGTAGACGCAAATAACTAGGGACAGTCCTGGGAGCTCACCTTGAGTGTTTGGGCTTTCACAGGTGGAGACTCAGAGAACTGCCTGGTGGCTTCTGTGTCAGTGGAGTTCTGTGTGCATTCAGCATCTGCAGGATTGTTTCAGTACCATGGAGAGCTCCTTGAAGTTCAGAGCGAGATGCAGAGAGGATACACAGCTCTGTTTACACAGGGCTTCCATTCTCCACTTAACATTGCACAGGGTGATCTTTAGTTTTCTTTGAATCCCCTGCTTAGTTCAGAATCTCCCTCGCTATATCTACCACCACTCTGTCTATAGTGGAGGCAGGCAATGTGTGGCCCTCCAGATGTTTGGGACTACAATTTCCATCATCCCTTATCACTGGCTGTGCAGGCTAGTGCTGATAGTTGTTGCCTGGAGGGTAACAAATAGTTCACCTTCCTATGTCTTGGAAAGTATATGCACTTTATAGTAAACATAATTTTGATGAAGGTGAACCAGGCCAAACCCACATCTTCCTTCCCCAGTAAAATCATACAAACAGAAAACTAGTTGGATATTTTAAAATGAGTATTGTTACTGCCCTTGGAGAAATGTCTTTCAAACCCATGACAGATCGGATGAGTTAAAGCAGAAATACTGTAATTTGATTTACTATGACTTTCCCATAGTGACTTGGTTTGCACAACAGAACAACTCATCCTGGGCAGCAAGCTTTTCCATGAGCAGTAAATCCAGTATTGGAGGCAGTGCCCCTCTGTACATCACTCGCTGGGAACTTGGGGAGAAGGGACGTCTTGCATTCCTTCCTACTTATGGAATTCTGTAGGCAGCTGATTAGCCCCTGTGCAAGCAGAATGCTGGACTAGGTGGACCTTTGGTCTGATTCATCAGTACTCTTCTTACGTTCCCATGGTTGGTTGTTGTGTCATCTCAGCCTAATCCACTTTACCCATGGTGGGTTGTTTTCTTTGGACAAGCCACCCCAAGAATCCATGGGCTATTGTAGAATTTCTTTTACTCATGGTGGTTTGTTGTGTCATCCAAACCCAGATGACCAGTCCCACCATGGGTAAAGCCCAGTGACTCATGAGTGGCAAAAATTCCTGAGATTCTGAGTGCCAGCTGTCCCTCAAGTGGCACCATGGAGGGGCTGTCAGATCTTTTTATAAAAATTCTTTTTTTGCACAAGATGTCCACAAATAGGTTTATATTGTCATTATTGTAACTGAAACTGTGGATGTTCACACTTGTGCAAGTGCAGGGATTTGAAGTCCTGAAGGAATTTTCAGGAATGTCCTGGGGGAATTTGCTGTCAAGCTACAACAAGCGTCAACCATGGACATTGCCCAAAATTCAGCCTGTCAAGAGAAAGCAGTCGAGAGTGTTCTTTGTTTGCAGAAATGGCATGGCGAGATGTATACAACTTCTGTAGCAAGATCATCTACTTTTCTTTTACCCTGAGTGCCCACAGAGTGAGGCACTTTTTGCTCTTTTCCAGAGATTAAGTCCATTTCAGGAAACAGAGTTTGGACAGTTAGCCTTGAAAACTCTGGCCTATTTAAGAGAGTTTTTGATAGAGTATTTTTGTTTGCTTTTTGTTTTGATTCGGTCATATACAGGCACCTCTAACGATGCTGTCGGAGGCTGTCAGAACAGGGATTATGAAATGGGAACTAGCCACCACAAAAAGAGTTAAAGTGCAAAAATGTTATGGGAAGCCAAAAATGGCTCCCTGGTACCGCAGGAAGGAAATATGTCCTGGTCCTGCTACAGAGTCCCTGGGGTGCGGCTGGAGGATTTCACCATAGGGCAGGAATAAAAAACTCACTATGAACATGATAATCAGCAAGGCTTATTGCCCCAGTTCATGGTTGTGATATGCGAACCCACCCAGTGTTTCAGTTTGCTTTCCCACAATGCTCAGGAACCTTTTGAAAAAATTCCCTTGCTTTTCAAAATGGTGTTACTCTTGGTTTGTGAAGGGCCTTAGCCTAACTCCCCAAATAAACAAAAAGGATACAGCCCAAACGAGTCCATTTTTGGTCTGTCTTGTGAGACAGAAAAACCCCCTCTGTATATTTTCCTCACCTGATTAGCAATATCTTAGTATATTCTACTGTGTTTAATGGGATCCTGCACTCCTGTAAAGAGTTCAACCATCTGAAATCATTGCCAGGAAGAAACCTCTTCCTACCTCCAAGGCTGACTGGTGCAGCATCTTGTGTTGGCATTTCTGCAAATGTTTCTTCCCACCTGCCTCTTTCGGTGAACAGATTGCCTGCGTCCGGACTGCTGTCTCGAGATGTCTTCTCTTCATTGACTGGAAAACAAAATCAGTCTGGTTTGTAACTGTGCAGCAATGATGTGTTGGCCTGGCAAAATAAGGAGAACAACAGCTGGTGGTGGCTCAAACCGGGCCAAGGGAGTGCGACCATAACGTATGATGACATTAAAAGGAAAGGCAGGCCAGTGTTCATTGCTGCTCTGGGATCAAAAACAAATGGTGGGGGAGAACAAGAGGGAGGGAGGTGGGGAGGGAGGGAGGGAGGAAAAAATACAGAGGATGCCAACAAGGTGAGGGGACTGCAGCATTACCGGAAAAATTACAGCAGCGGCTGCTTAATTGTCTAGTTGCAGCAGGTATATTTAGCTTTGCAAAGTGACAGAGTATAATTCTTCTTTAGTTACAATGCAACAGATATTTATTTATTTATTTATTTATTTATTTGACAATTCTCTTCTAATGCTGGGAGCCCATATCTGATTGCTGGAGTTTGGCATTAGGGTAGAAAAAGTGCAACCAAATGGAACTCATTGGGAAAAAAGGATAGATTTGAGATGGTGTGTGTTATAGAGGGTAGCTATAAAATAGCTCAAGAGAAGTTACAGTGTGCTTGCAGCAGAGGAGGAACAGTGCACAGTATATTATCAATAATCTCAGAGTCCAGAGGTTCAGGGGCAAGAAAATGTAGCTTAGTCCTAATGTTCCAGATCAAGGCTATGAGACAAATCCACATCATTACACTCCCTGCTGTAAGTATCCCATTATAAAAAATTATGTAGAGGTGAAGTTCTTCAGCTTTACAAATATGTTTACTGTAGTACAATATATATGACAGTACCAGTTTCCATTAGAACAATGATCTTTCAGAAGCAGAAAGGTTTCAGTCAGTTGGCCAGTCTGAGAGACTCAGAATGCAATCCAATTACATTTGCTAGAGAGCTTCAGGCTGTGGAGTAAATCTCCATACAGATGGAGATAAGCAATTCCTGGGACTCAACCTCAATGTAAAAGGGACATGTTGGTAGAATATTGCATTGCTATATCCCCACTACCTAGATTGATCCCCACATGAGAGCATTTTCTTCATTGCCCCTATAGATGTAGGTAGAGGAGCAGAAATCTCTGGTAGGGGAGAGAAGCTTTATATTTCTCTCCTCTCTTCCTGTCCCACATGCTGTGCAGTCCTGGAACAAACCCAGCCCTTTGCGCTTGCTCTTTGCATTAGAAGAAAAGTTTCCATTGGTGAAAATGATGGCTTATTTTCCACTAATCCCAATAGCAGGTGTAGATCTCCAGTCTGGACTAGAAATGCAGTGGGAAGAGAGTTAAAGCCGCTTTCCCATCAGGATTGGGGTCCCTGTTCATCCCATTTTCTTTTTAAAAGCCATTCACAAATCTAATTGCATGAATGACTTTTCAGCTAGTTTGGCTGTTAGTGTGGCACATAATATGAATGAAAAATATGGGGATGGGAAATATGGAGAAAGGAAGCACAAAGGGTGAGCACTTTGCAGAATACGTTCTGTACCTTGTTAGGCCAGAAAAAAACATAAGCAGAACAAAGTGATAACAGGTCACTTCTCAGAGCCCTTATACTCAGAGTCCTTCTCTGTGGTGCTTTGTGAGGAGACAGGAAATTTTTGGGGGGCTTTTCCCCAACCTTGCATGGGAGCTGGTCCCACCACTGCAGAAAATTCCAGGTCTTGGTCAACTCTCAGCCCAATGTCTTGGCCAGCTCAGAACCACAGAGAAACTGCTTCTGGTTAGCTGGAATCACAGTCCTGAACATTCAGAGGGTAAACTATACTCCTGCTTTGCTTTCTCATCTCAGGACAACTTTGCACATGACGTGGAAACCCAAGTGAATTGCATTTCCTTTCATGATGAGTGGAGGGCTTGGTCTACCCCAAAAGGATATGTGAGCATCCAGAGAAGAGCAGTCCATTGCATAGTTACAGAGCATAAATTAAAGGATAATCACATGCTCACTTACTTGTCAGGTAGCAGTCCAGGCTGAGTGACACATTATCGAAAGCAATGAGGGCTTCTGATCCAGCTTTCCAGGATGCAATAATCTGCAGCCAGAATCTGTAAGGAGTAAGCAAAGTTATCAGATTCTGATAGGTGAGATGCCACTCATCAAATGCAGCTTTGATTCCGATGCAGCCAGCTGAGCCTTAGTCTGAGAGCGATTGTAACAGCCCGCAGACAGCCTGGTACCAAACAAACCACTAGTTGCAAGTGCTCATCTGGGGCACAGCCTCAGAGGTAATTAACAGTAAGTTCAGCAGCTGCACAAAAGTGGAGAGCGTCATCATGTCAAAGCAAATGACCCGAGGCATATAAAAATGGACCATGAACAACCTTCACATGTTGATAGTCACATGATAGACCAACAATGGCAAAACCCACCATGCCTTATGTTGCCTGAACCTGGCCTATGGCTTGCTTCTTTCCATTTTCCTGGGGTATGTTCACCAGGGATCATCCATGGTCTGACTCTTTTTCCTCTGTGACTCCCTTAATGCCAGGGTGTAGATTGGAAGTAAGAGAAAGAAGATGAAGGAATGGTCTCTATGGCAACCTTTTACAAGGGTGGTTTTAAAAAGTGCACTTGCTATGTATATTCTCGGGTGCATTGTCCTTTGGAATGTTGCCAGAAGTGCTCAGTAGCCTCAATTTCTGATGGGTTTTCGGCAGTTATGGTGTAAATGAACATGCTGGAGGAGCTACATATTTTCCCAAAGCTATCAAAAGGAGAAGATTCCATATGAAAAAGAAGACATTGGAGCCACACTCCCAGAGAGCTTTGTGCAGCTCAGAAAAACACATTCTGAGTACACCGACATACTTTACTGTTGTTGGAGGTGGAGGAAACAGTTACTCTTGATGTGCTTCCGAACTCATCAGATGAAGATGGCAATGACTGGGAGATGGGCTGTGGGAGTCAAGGGGGCAGAGGAGGGCGAGACTTTCTCAAGGCCACAGCCCCCAGATTCCCAGACAGACCATGGGAACAGGCAGGGCTTGGAAGGGAAGGGAGGAGCTAAGGAGAGGTGGAAGATAAGTCCATGTCCTGACTGGTCCCTGATCGCATGGCATGGTTTTGGGACACAAGAGCTACCCAGTTGGAGGCCATTCACAGACAGATCTCTCTTTCTCTGTCTCTGTCTCTCTCTCTCACACACACACGAGGTTGAGACATAAAATTTCTAGGAACAAATGGCTGCTAGCTGGTTTTCTGAATCAGTGAGATATCTGGAATCATCCCAAGAAAGTGCACTTCAAACTTTGCTTACTTGGATGTAAGACCTACTGAGTTCAATTCAGCATGACCATAATTGTGTTGGCATTACCAGATAAGGATGCCATTTGTTCCCCATATGTAAGTTTGTAAATTGATCTATAAGTTAATACTTAAATGTTCGAACTGGCCTTCTACCACATAATCCTTGCAAAGGTCTGCTCAAGTAAAATAAGTCAGTAGAATATCATTAGCCATTTTAATTCCATTCAATCAGTACAAGGTATTACTGGCCTGAGTAGCAACCCAAATGAAGAGAGAAACTGGTACGATTCTCTAATTAACTTTGCTTTTACTCTAAGAAGTCCCTGAATATGCAGCAAATTAACACATTGTAATAAGAACCAAAGCACTTGTCACACTGGTCATGGCAATACTACCCAAAATCACATCCCGACAGCAAGTATTTTTCCCACCTCCCAGCTGTAATGCTGCAAATGCTTATTGTACATGTAGCCACCACAATATGTGCAGTCCTTCTGCTCTTGCTGCAGGTATCTTTCCCCATGGATGCTCTTTTGGGGGACTGTTCTCAAACCAGTCTTGGCACGACTCTAACCCTGCTGGACTGTCACTTTGCCTGCACCTTGTACTGTGTGAAAACAATGGCAAACTTAGGAAGGCAAAGTTATATCACTCGGGTTTCGGTGGAAGGAGAGAGGGGGCAAGCATACTAGTCCTGCTCCACCTCCACTCTGCCACCATCCTTGTCTCTGTCTCTGTGCAGAGAACATGAAAACAGACGCAGCTGGATCAGATCACAGACCTATCAAGTTCAGCGTCCACTTCACAGAATGGCCAACCAAACGCAAATAAGACCTGAATACAACAGAGATTTCTGTGCGCACAGAGACACATGGCATCCTGGAGCGACTGCACATTGTATCCATAGAGCATTCCCACCGATAGCCTTGCTCTCTGCAATTTCGTCCAATTATTTTTTCAAGCGACCCATGTCGGTGGCCATCACAACAACTCTTATAATAAAGAAATTCATAGTTTGGCCATGTATGGCATGAATGAGTATTTCCTTTTATCTGCCCTGCATTTCCCCCCATTCAGTTTCATGGGATGACCCTGGATTCTAGTATTAAGAAAGAGGGAGAAAAATGTCCCTGTACCCACTTTATCTTCCCCATGCATAATTTTGTTCACCTCTGTCAAGTTTCTCTGTCTGGATTTTGGGGCAGAACGATTCAAATATCCAGTTAATTAGGCAGAAGGGAGAAGTTTTACTTTATTTTAAGAAAGGGATCTAATTTTTATATACTTATTTCTAAAATGCACAGCTACTTTGCTTCTGCTTAATAAACCCTTTTTTTTTTGAAAAGCATTAAATAATTCAGAAACTGCTAGACTAGAAAATGAGATTATATCTGGGTCACAAATGCTAAAAGCTCAATTTTGGTTCTCTGGGGTTTCTCAGGAGGACACCTTCTAGCTCTAGCCTAACCCCCTAAGTACCCAAAATTGGGTGCTTCCACAGCTTTTGTGCAATTCCCCCACAGTTAAGGGTTGAAATGCCTCTCCTAAGGTTTAGTTACTGGCAGTAAGAGCATCAACCTAAAAGTTGCTGCACCGGGAGGATTCTGGACAATTTGCTGTTGGTCCCATCTACGAACAGTGGTGGCCCATGGACTTTCTTGGTGGGGTGGACAAGGTAGGTCAGCCAAGGCGAAGCCAATTGTACCAGTTTGCAACTAGCATTCTCCCTTGGAAGCCCCAGGAATGTGCCTCTAACTCTCCTCCCCATTTTCTTGCATGCTGCATCTTTTTAGATAGCAAGGCAGTCAGCAGCGGCTGCCTTCTTTTACCAATTATGTGTAAGCTGCTCCTGGCACCACTTTGGCTGAGGAGGGGGATGAAAATACTCCAAACAAAGTAAGTAAATAAATTAACAGCCTTCAATGAATATTTTAAACATAAAAAAGATGAGCATCTGTAAACATCAACATGCCCTCCCTGCTGCTCCTAGACTACATTAAGAGAAGAAAGAGTGAAAGGATGCTCCGATCAAAACTGACCCTGATGACCCTTTCAGCATGTGCTGAAGCAGTCCACCGAGAACGAAGAAACTGGAAATATGTTACTTTAGCTTAATCATGGCTCTTTCTCCCACTCTTCACTTAGTGGGTGATCTCACTTGGTCGTATTAGATAGCTCTGCTTTCAGGCAGTTTTGGCAAATGCTGTGTGTGCCTACTCATTAGCAAATTCTCAGGACGGTGAGTATGTGCTTGCAATTTATTTGTGCAATAGCCTATTCCTCCCAGCACACCTACCCTCCTCCAAAATAAATAAATCAATAAATAAAGACAAAAAGGAAAGGAGGGAGGGAGGGGGGAAAAGAGATGAACGATCAATTAATTACAATGGGTAATTGATAATTGCTCTTATCAGCTGGTAAGAATACACAGGACTGTAGCCAAAATTAAAAATAGTACACTTTTTCCATGTAAGAGAAACATGACCCATAAATGTAACATCTATTCCCCCCCACCCCTCCCCAATTCTGTCTTCATAGGTTCCTTTCTGAATCAGCAGGAAAAGATGAAAAGAAAATGCACGCGCTCCCTTCATGATGCCATTGAAACACAGAGAACAAATCTAGCCAGCCTTTCCCCTTCTCTCAGATTTCTGTCTTTACACACCAGCAGGGAATGCTTGATAGAGGATACAGTCACTCACCGCAGAACACAGTTCATCCAAGTTACACACCACATCAAACACACTTCTCAAAAAACATACATTTATTTTTTAAATATGGAAAAGATGTACAAGTCTGAACATAAATAAATAATAAAGTATGAAACTGTGACTGGTATTTCCTTCCAGCCAGTACAAGATTTTAAGGTTGGACTCCTATGCACACTTACCTGGGAGTAAGCTCCATTGAAAGCAGTAGAGCTTACTTCTGAGTAGTATAAATGGCTAGGATTGCATTGTAAAAATAGCAGCATCAGTAAAAGAAAAAGAGTAAGAACAAAGGACTTACAGGTACCATTTTGGCAGACACTTGAATCTGAGCAGAGGTGGTATCTGTGTCTGGCCACTGCCCAGAAAGTGCAACACACAAACAGCAGTTTATGAAAGACTGTGATTTTGTTGTTAATGTCTAGCTCTCCTTTTCATGCTAAGCTTGAGAAGAAAAAAGCCTGGCCTTTCAGAATAGTATGCTCAACCCAGCAAAAGCAGTGGCAACAACAACAGAACACCACTGAGACAAAATGAACTTGGCAATCACCATGGAGAAATTTATTTATTTATTTATGGATTTATATCCTGCCTTTTTCCTGCAAAGAGCTCAAGGCAGCTTGCAGCATTCTCCTCCTCCATCTTATCCCCACAACAACAACCCTGTGAGGTAGGTTGGGCTGAGAGTCTGTGACTGGCCCAAAGTCACCCAGTTGGTTCCATGGCTAAGCGGGGACTCGAACCCAGGTTGTCTGAGTCCCAGTCCCATGCTCTTAGCCACCACACTGGCTCTTTGAAATGGCTTGCAAAGCTGAAGGTTACTCACTTCCAGACAGCTGAATGGTCTGGTGGGCAAGCTGGGGTCATGTGAAGAGCTCCAAAGGAAGCAGCAATCACAGGACTCCCCCTTCCCTTTGATGGCCATGGGGATTGGGTTAAGCAAGCTACATGCACTTTGTGGATTTGAGAAGCTTCCAAAATATCACCCAAGGCACATATCTTTAAACACATCCTTTCTCTGTTTCTTGCCTTTCCCTTCTTTTCCTTCTCAGACAGTTAATCCACCCAGAAGCTTTACATTCACAGTGGGA